CAGAACTGTAATTTCTGCCCCTGGTGTGAAGTCTCTTCCCACCAACTGTAGCAGCTGTTCTTGTTGCTACATATACAGCATAGGCAGTGCAAGGATGCAGGTTCTGCATTGGCGTGGCGAGAGGCTGCTGATAGGTTGTGAGAAACGGTGAAAACTTTGTTTGGTGACCTGGTATCTGACATGGTTTTTCACAGTGTTCTTAAAGAGAAAGTATAATCAAAACCAATGTTTTTGTTGTTTTTTTTGTTTGTTCGTCATAGATGTATAATAGATATGCTAGAAGCACCTAATGCTGTTAATGTTTTATAGATTTAGTTTGAAATATAATTTGTATAGACAAGACCCACATTTACCCCCCTCTGGAGCATGTCCCAACATTTATTTTTATTGTATTTTAGCAAGGAGCCACTTCCTATGACGTCACAAACTGGCTTGTAATTTTTGCTGGGCTAGTGTATTGGTTGGCTCTTGACAGTCAAAGCAGTAGCATTGTTTGCTGGGAAAGAAATCCAATGTACATAATGGAAAGGGACAGAGAAGGCAGGGATGGAGGGAGTTCTGCAGTCCTAATTGAGGAGTTGAAAAGGCTGATGACATTGCTTGGGATTTCTGTTAAGCAAAGGCGGGATTTTTATGCAACAATAAGTTTGGGAATTTACTGGATTTCTGGCAGGATCACCAGCTATATTTTATACTTGCTGTGTTTAAGGGATAAAACATGGATATGTGTGTGTTCTGCATAAATCTACTGCTTTGTATTTTATTTTTCATATTTTGCTCATACACTTAAAGTGCTGTATGTGTCTATATGTTGCCATATTCATGCACTACATGCACAGGCGCTACTTGTAGCTTTCCAGCGACAGACTATAGATGTATTTTCTACTACTTCCTCTCAAAATGCACATTGGCTGGCTGACTAATTTTTTTTTTTTTTGTTTATATTTATATATTAAATATGCATTTAAAATATTAATAGATATGATAGAGCCAGCATATGCAGAATGTACATACATTTACCTTGAGAATAACTTAAAATACATTATATTGCCAAAAGTATTGCAACGCCTTCCTTTTCACACACATGATATTTAATGGCATCCCAGTCTTAGTCTGTAGGGTTCAATATTATGTTGGCCCACCCTTTCAGCTATAACAGCTTCAACTCTTCTGGGAATGTTTTCCACTTAAGAGTGTGTCTTTGGGAATGTTTGACAAATCTTCCAGAAGAGCATTTTTGAGGTCAGGCACTGATTTCTGATGAGAAGGCCTGGCTCGCAGTCTCCGCACTATTTCATCCCAAAGGTGTTCTATCGGGTTGAGGTCAGGACTCTGTGCAGGCCGGTCAAGTTCCTCCACCCCAAACTTGCTCATCCATGTCTTTATAGACCTTGCTTTGTGAATGGGTCCACGGTCATGTTGGAACAGGAAGGGGCCAGCCCCACACTGTTCCCACAAAGAGAGCATGAAATTGTCCAAATTAGCTTGGTATTCTGACACCTTAAGAGTTCCCTTCACTAGAACTAAGGTGCCAAGCCTAACCCCCTGAAAAACAACTCCACACCATAATCCCCCCTCCACCAAACGTTACACTTGGCACAATGCAGTCAGGCAAGTACCGTTCTCCTGGCAACTGACAAACTCAAACACATCCATTGGATTGCCAGACAGGGAAGCGTGATTTTTCACTCCACAGAGCTCATCTCCACTGCTCTAGAGTCCAGTGGCGGCGTGCTTTATACTTCTGTATCCAACGCTTTGCGTTGCACTTGGTGATGTAAGGCTTGGATGCAGCTGCTTGGCCATGGAAACCCATTCCATGAAGTTCTCTACGCACTGTTGTGCTAATATGAAGGCCACAGGAAGTTTGAAGGTCTTTAGCCTACTGACTCTTGACAGTATCAGATAACACACTACATTAAAAAGCAGTGGTACTTATCAAGGATTTGTTTTTTTTATCTCTGATACTCTGCATTTGTAATACAGGTGAAACTCAAAAAATTAGAATATTCGTGCAAAAGTTCATTTATTTCAGTAATGCAACTTAAAAGGTGCAACTAATATATGAGATAAACTCATTACATGCAAAGCAAGATAGTTCAAGCCTTGATTTGTCATAATTGTGATGATTATGGCTTACAGCTCATGAAAACCCCAAATCCACAATCTCAGAAAATGAGAATATTGTGAAAAGGTGCAATATTCTAGGCTCAAAGTGTCCCACTCTAATCAGCTAATTAAGCCATAACACCTGCAAAGGGTTCCTGAGCCTTTAAATGGTATCTCAGTCTGGTTCAGTAGGAATCACAATCATGGGAAAGACTGCTGACTTGACAGTTGTGCAGAAAACCATCATTGACACCCTCCATAAGGAGGGAAAGCCTCTCAAAAGGTAATTGCAAAAGAAGTTGGATGTTCCCAAAGTGCTGTATCAAAGCACATTAATAGAAAGTTATGTGGAAGGGAAAAGTGTGGAAGAAAAAGGTGCACAAGCAGCAGGGATGACCGCAGCCTGGAGAGGATTGTCAGGAAAAGGCCATTCAAAAGTGTTGGGGACTTTCACAAGGAGTGGACTGAGGCTGGAGTCAGTGCATCAAGAGCCACCACACACAGACGGATCCTGGACATGGGCTTCAAATGTCGTATTCCTCTTGTCAAGCCGCTCCTGACCAACAACGTCAGAAGCGTCTTACCTGGGCTAAAGAAAAACAGACCTGGTCTGTTGCTCAGTGGTCCAAAGTCCTCTCTTCTGATGAGAGCAACTTTTGCATCTCATTTGGAAACCAAGGACCCAGAGTATGGAGGAAGAATGGAGAGGCACACACTGCAAGATGCTTGAAGTCCAGTGTGAAGTTTCCACAGTCTGTTGATTTGGGGAGCCATGTCATCTGCTGGTGTTGGTCCACTGTGCTTCATTAAGTCCAGGGTCAACGTAGCCATCTACCAGGAGATTTTGGAGCACTTTATGCTTCTTTCCGCAGACGAGCTTTATGGGGATGCTGACTTCATTTTCCAGCAGGACTTGGCACCTGCCCACACTGCCAAAAGCACCAAAACCTAGTTCACTGACCGTGGGATTACGGTGCTTGATTGACCAGCAAACTCGCCTGACCTGAACCCCATAGAGAATCTATGGGGCATTGCCAAGAAAAAGATGAGACATGAGACCGAACAGTGCAGAAGGGCCTCCATAACACCTCAGCAGTGCCACAGGCTGATAGCTTCCATGCCACGCCGCATTGAGGCAGTAATTGCTGCAAAAGGGGCCCAAACCAAGTACTGAGTACATATACATGCTTATACTTTTCAGAGGTCCGATATTGTTCTATGTACAATCCTTGTTTTATTGATTGCATGTAATATTCTAATTTTCAGAGATTGTGGATTTGGGGTTTTCATGAGCTGTAAGCCATAATCATCACAATTATGCCAAATCACAGCTCTAACTATCTTGCTTTGCATGTAATGAGTCTATCTCATATATTAGTTTCAACTTTTAAGTAGCATTACTGAAATAAATGAACTTTTGCATTATATTCTAATTTTTTCGAGTTTCACCTGTATTCTTTCTAGTTGTGCACTGATGAGACATGGGCATTTGTTCAGTGCTGCACAACCCTATTATTTCCTCACTCAGTAGTTAAAATGTGGCTTGTAGCACCAGAGTGGGGTTGATTTACTGAAGGCTAATAGAGTTTGCACTTTGCAAGTGCATTCACTCCAGAGCTTAGTAAATGAGTTAAAGCTTCACTTTACAAGGAATACCCAATAATATTCAATGAAAATGAAAAAGTATTTTTGCTTGCACACATTTGGATTATAGAAGTCAGCAGAGTTTCCTCTCATTTACTAAGCTCTGGAGCATCTGAACTTGCAAAATGCACAGTTTATTTGCCATTAGTAAATCAACCTCATTGCTTTCTTGCAAATGTACTTAAAGTGCCTTCCTGTCATTTCATAGGGACTGGCTCTTTGGAACAGTATTGAATGGCATCATCGAAAACCTCATGAGAGGTAAAAACACCTTTCTATTTCAACCATGGAAAGCAGGGAGCTATATATTAAGCAGGGCATATTTTTTTTTTTTTTTCTGCTCACAAGTGCCTTTTTCATTCTCTGAGCACCTCAGGTCAAGGGCTTCAAGCCCTGCAAATTGTCCTCTGTTTGGCCCAAGTGTCCCTGGCAACATAAAATAAAGAAACCTGCAAACAGGTCTTGAGCTGTATGAAGGTTTGCCCCTTCCTGACTATGTTTGGGGGGCGACTTGTTTACCGTCCCTTTCGGATTTTGCACAACTGGGTCTGTGAACTGATATTGTCAGGCTACAAAATAAATTTACTTTAGTCCCTTCTCATCTAAATCTTTCCCAGGGGCAGACTAACAACTCATGGGGCCCCCGGGCAATAGGGGATCATGGGGCCCCTGTGTCCTTGCCCAAACTCAAAAAAGCCTATGAAAAATGTACCAGGGGCATCTCATGGGGCCCCCTACTGACCCCGGGCCCTCGGGCAGTGCACGAGTTTCCAAATGGTCAGTCCGCCATTCTTTCCCCAACAGTTCTCTCAGATACAAGGGTTTTCTTTTCCACCCTTTTTGGTGTCAGAAATGCACGTGGTTCAGTGGAATCTGTAATCTTCATAAAAGCAGTCATTGCTAGGAAAATTCTATCTAGGTAGCTTGCAAAAACAGGCCAATACACAACCTCCAAAGTGCACATATCTACAACATGCAGTGGCAATTAATAAACATTATAGTAATGTACAAACAATTCATAAATATAAAGTCCAAAAAACCCCCCCACTAATAAATGTAAAGTACACAATAGAAGACGTCCACAAAAATGTCCATGAAAGTAAACTGCCAAAGTGTATAAGGAGAAAAGTGCACCACACAACAGTCCGCTTAAGGTGATTCTTCATCACAGTAACTGTAAGACAGTATATTAGTCATTGGTGTATTACAATCTTGCACTAATAAAGTGCATCACCATGTGCATACATTTGCCGCCACCTCTGTACTCACCAACTTTTACAGCGGAACTTTACCCAAAAGTGGAAGTTCCAATTGTTGGCATTCCCCCTTCCCCCCCCCCCCACTGCCACATTTGGCTCTTTTTGGGGGGAGTGGGCACCTGGTTTTGACAAGTACCCGCGCAGACCTCTGGCCATATGTGCCGTGTTGATCTGAACTGGAAAATTGGTTCCTCTTCCTTTCCCCACAGCCTTTTGGGACCATTCACAGGTCCCAGAAGACTGCGGGACCATTCACAGATCCCAGAAGACTGCGGGACCATTCATAAAGTGCAGCATGCTTTTTGCATATACAGTAGGAAACCAGCTGTGAAGCTGCAAGGCTCCACTACCGGTTTTTCTTACTTAAGATGCTGGCACCTGCACCCGAAGCAGATTGAAGAATTTGCTTAGGTGAGGATATCTCTGGATCCCTGGACAGCTATGTGTGCTTATATTAAAAATCAGCAGCTACAGTAAAAGACTTTAAATTGTTTGGGGGGGGGAGCCTGGAGCTTTGTTTTTTAAGCTGCATAGAGAAACCCACAAACAACGCATGTGTGGGAAAGCAACCTCTTGTAATAGTATTCCTCTCCAGCTAGGGGCCACCACACCACAGATATATCGAGCCTGGGACGGACGCTCACCACATGGAGCCACAAGAAATATCTAGTCTAGTGTTTTCTTCATAGAAAATATAAACATCCATCTGTTGGAACTGCATAGCAGAATTTTCCATCATATCCAAATATCAAGCCACATTATGGGAATAGAATTGTTTGTACATTAAGTAATATAATTTGTATTTATTGGCGCTGCATATTTTAAATAGCGGATTCTGGACCTCTAGGTGCTCTTTGTCTTTGAAATGGTCTGATAATTTAAGATGGAGTTCATTCACACAGTGATAGCTTCTCCTCTTTAGCGGGATTTCATGGCATCCATAGACATGAGGATGCACACCTGCATGTCTCCATTTATGTGCAGAACCAACTGTTTCTTGTGGTAGGCGGTAACCACATCTAGTTTGTGGCTTTTGTGTTTGGCCTTGCCTAGACCCCTCAAATCTATACCGAGGTGTTGGCCCCAGTCATAACATTACTGAGACTATGAGGGGGGGGGGAAGGGGGAGGGGAAGTCTACCTAAACAACCTTTCCTCCAGGTGGACTCTGGTTCATCCATGGAGGACAATCTGGAGATTACCATTTGCAACCTGGAGAAGTTTCCTTCATTTTTTAACTTTTAAACTATTGCTTGATTTGACCTTGTGACTGGAGCACCATGGCCTAATTCTGGTTTCCCTGATCTTCCTCTTGCCAAATAAAAACCTTGGAGACTTTATTGTAAGTTCTAGACCTAATCTTTTCTAGCTTCAAAGTGTTTCTGTATGCGCAACTACACCTGGGTTTTCCAGCTAGAAATTCTGACCTATTGGGACAAATCTCCTTTCACAATGGACACACAAATTGCATGAGTCATCTGGTTAAGCCCTCCCTGTTGTGGCTTTGATCCTCATTGCTGTCCTTTCGTCAGATTGTTGTCATGATGGATGCCAGTCTACTTGGCTTTGGAGGATGGTGGGCCAGCTGTCAGCACAGGGACTCTGGTCCTAGGTGGAATCTGTTACCGATCAATTTCCTGAAACTATGTCCATTAAGAATGTATTTTTACATTGGACCGATCTCCTTCGGGGTCAGCTTGTGAGGGTCCAGTTGATAATCTGTCAATTACCAGGGCAGATTAGAGTCTTGCAGCAGTGCTTGAAGTCTCCCACATTCTTCAGTGGGTAGAGCTTCATATTTCAACCCTCTACATGTTTTTATTCTGGAAGTGGAAAACTGGCAGGCAGGCTGTCAAAGTCTAGACCAGCGGTTCTCAACCTGGGGGTCGCGACCCCTTCGGGGGTCGAACGACCATTTCACAGGGGTCGCCTAAGACCATCCGAAAACACATATTTCCGATGGTCTTAGGAACCGAGACACCGCTCCTGTCTCAGGCGATCTGTGGGCGGGATGATATGCTGCCCCTGTAACCTGGCCACACCTCCGGGATCACTCAACAGCTCCGCCTCCTCGCCGCTGATTGGCCACCGGAACTGTAGCTCAGGAGAGGCACACAGGCGGCCAATCACCGGCGAGGAGGTGGAGCTTGGAGAGGAGGAGCCGAGTGGCAGTGCGCGGAGATCAAAGAAGATCGAGGGAGCTGCAGGAACGAGTGAAGAGAGAGGCCAGAGAAGGAAGACAGCTGACAGGTAAGTGCAAATTTTGCTGCTGCAGCCAGGTATGCAGGCTGTAGATGGGAGAGGGAGAGAGCGAGCCCAGGCTGGAGCAGGAGTCAGCAAGGTAAGTATCATTGGTGTCAGTGGAAGGGATAGTGCCCCATCATTTGTGTCAGTAATACCAACGATGGGGCACTATTCCTCCCCCCACTGACACCAATGATGGAGCACTATTCCTCCCCCCACTGACACCAATGATGGGGCACTATTCCTCCCCCCACTGACACCAATGATGGGGCACTATTCCTCCCCCCACTGACACCAATGATGGGGCACTATTCCTCCCACTGACACCAATGATGGGGCACTATTCCTCCCGCTAACACCAATGATGGGGCACTATTCCTCCCACTGACACCAGTGATGGGGCACTATTCCTCCCACTGACACCAATGATGAGGCACTATTCCTCCCAATGACACCCACAATGGGGCTCTATTCCTCCCACTGACACCAATGATGGGGCACTATTCCTCCCAATGACACCCACAATGGGGCACTATTCCTCCCACTGACACCCACAATGGGGCACTATTCTTCCCACTGACACCCACAATGGGGCACTATTCCTCCCACTGACACCCACAATGGGGCACTATTCCTCCCACTGACACCCACAATGGGGCACTATTCCTCCCACTGACACCCACAATGGGGCACTATTCCTCCCACTGACACCCACGATGGGGCACTATTCCTCCCACTGACACCCACGATGGGGCACTATTCCTCCCACTGACACCCACGATGGGGCACTATTCCTCCCACTGACACCCACGATGGGGCACTATTCCTCCCACTGACACCCACGATGAAGCACTATTCCTCCCACTGACACCCACGATGGGGCACTATTCCTCCCACTGACACCCACGATGGGGCACTATTCCTCCCACTGACACCCACGATGGGGCACTAATCCTCCCACTGACACCCACGATGGGGCACTATTCCTCCCACTGACACCCACGATGGGGCACTATTCCTCCCACTGACACCCACGATGGGGCACTATTCCTCCCAATGACACCCACGATGGGGCACTATTCCTCCCAATGACACCCACGATGGGGCACTATTCCTCCCACTGACACCAATGATGGGGCACTATTCCTCCCAATGACACCCACAATGGGGCACTATTCCTTCCACTGACACCCACAATGGGGCACTATTCCTTCCACTGACACCAATGATGGGCACTATTCCTCCCACTGACACCAATGATGGGGCGCTATTCCTCCCACTGACACCAATGATGGGGCGCTATTCCTCCCACTGACACCAATGATGGGGCGCTATTCCTCCCACTGACACCAATGATGGGGCACTATTCCTCCCACCGATACCAATGATGGGACACTATTCCTCCCACCGATACCAATGATGGGGCACTATTCCTCCCAATGACACCAACGATGGGGCACTATTCATCCCACTGATACCAACGATGGGACACTATTCATCCCACTGACATCAGTGATGGGGCGCTAGTCCTCCCACTGCAAAATTACAGTTATGAAGTAGCAACGAAAATAATTTTATGGTTGGGGGTCACCACAACATGAGGAACTGTATTAAGGGGTCGCGTCATTAGAAAGGTTGAGAACCACTGGTCTAGACCAAGGCAAGTGGTCTTTGCATGCGATCTGTCAAAAAAAGGGAACTTTAGATGTCATCTCCTCTCAATGGTAAGTTCAGGATTTATTTTAGCTTTTTATACCAATGACATCTGTATGGAAGTTGAATGACCTCTACCTTTTCCTGTCAGACCAATGTTATGTGTGCTTAAGTTCCCTCAAGAGTGTAAACTGAAATTTTTTTTTAACGTTCTCCAAAACCCAATGGGAAATGATGGTGCTTTAAATATGAATAAAGAAATAAGCATTTTTTTTTTCTTGTATATTTATTTCCAGACATACACATACACATATAAAGTGCTATATGTGTTCTAAGTTTTAATTCCACAGTCCTGTGCTAGGTTAACTGTTCTAGAATTGATTTAATGAAACTTTTTTTTTTTTTGTTTGTTTTTTTTTTGTTTTTGATCTCATCGCCTCCTCCGCGGCTTATACTCATTGACTTTCACAGCATGTGCTTTAAGGCTTTAATCTTCTTCTTCTCAAGAATGTTGTGACCCATGTACAAGACTGTAAAAGAAAAAATAAGTCTATGTACTTTATCAAAATGGAAGTTAAATTGCTCTCCATGCCACTGAGAAGCATTTTGTTACCCACTAATAATGCATTCTCTTTCAGACACTTGGCCAAAATGTAAGCCCGTTCTAAGCTCTATTGTCAGCCTGTTTTCATCAAACAGGAATTTTTGGCAGGTTAAGTAATAATCAACTATTACAGTTAGCAAGTGAGCTTTTTCTGCTTTCAAATTATGTTTGAAAATCATGTTCTAATTAATAATAAAGTAACCTGCTTTACTAAATTGCTGCATTTTGGTAAAGTATGCATTACCATGGTATTTGATGCTCAGGGTGATAGATGGTAAGAAGGTAAATGCTTACTAAAAGTTACATTTGTGAGAAGCCTTCATACATTTGTGAGAAGCCATCTGCATCATTTAAACTGCTCAGTTCAAAGCAAGCTTCATATACTGAGTCCTTTGTGAGTTTTCGCGAATGGTATTCAGTCACTGTATTTTAGAACATTTGCAACAGAAGATACCATGCAGGCATGTGAAAATCTGAATAGAGGACAATGCTGCAATGTGGCGCAGTTTGCGTAGTACATGCGGCATGCAGTTTGGTGTCAGTTTGCGTAGTACATGCACATTTTATCCTTTTCAAATTAATGGGCTGCAGAATTGCTAAGCTCGGGAATGTACTGGAATTGCACAGAATGTCTGCTGTGTCCAGTGCAATCCTAGTGTGAAACTGCCTTAACAGAGTATTTCAGTCTGTTTTTAACAACATGGAAAGCTTGCTAAAGTCCCTACAATAGAAATTATTTGAGTGAGCGTTATCTTTTTAGTAGCTAAACTTAACAAGCAGAAGTCAACTGGGAAATAACAAAAACAAATCTAAACAATTAGACCTACGGAACAGGACATAAGCAAAGTACCTGTAGACCTTGAGTTATAGGCTCGTACTTTCAGGTGATTGATTGGACACTGGCAACGTTTTATTAACACACCCCTCTGGGCACCTCACTTATTACTCTACCCCACTCTGAGAGTCCTTTTCATAGTGTCCTGATTGACCTCTTCTCCCTTGCAGAAAAATAACTCTTAAAGTGATACTAAAGGCTTAGCTTTCTTTTAAGAAAAAATAACAAACATGTCTATACTTACCTGCTTTGTGCAGTGGTTTTGCACAGAGCAGCCCGGATACTCTTCTCGGGTCTCCCGCAGGCTCTCCTGGCCCTTCCCTCCTGTTCGGTGCCCCCACAGCGAGCAGCTTGCTATGGGGGCACCCTCTGATCCTTGTGTCCATTCACACATGAAGCCGTGGATAGGCCCGCCCCTTGTCATTGGCTCACTGGCTGTGATTGACAGCAGTGGAAGCCAATGGCTCTCTTCTGTCTTAGTCAAGACTCCAGTGCACATCGCTGGATCAAGAGGGAGCTTAGGAGAGTATTTGGGGGGGTGGGGTGGGAGGTGCTGGGGATGATGCTGCACACAGAAGGTTTTTTAACTTCATGCATAGAATGCATGAAGGTAAAAAACCTTGAACGTTTACAACCACTTTAAATTAACTAGTTTTATTATTTTGGTTTTCCGATTCTTCAACTCTTGAATTATCTACTTCAATGCCTTTCTAAAACCAAGAATAGAAACAGTTTATTGGATTGGTGCACCCTTGATAAAACTGTGGGAGCTGTATCCAAACCTCTTGTTGTGCTGACCTCAAAGTGACAAGGCTTCCTTTGCATCGGAGCAGGAACTGATTTTAAAACTGATATGTGCATTTGATCTTAGCTCTAACCTAGGCATGCAACAAGTGACCTACCTGAAAAAAGCTGAATTTTCTGCAACTGATCCTCAATTCCTGCCGCGCCCCTTCTCCAGCTTCTAAATCTCTAACTGATTCAAATTCTGATATGCGTGACCTACACCAGGCTGACACAAAAGGAGGATATTTTATTAGAGGAGGCTGTAGAAGATTCTTCTCACCCACACTTTTAATACCTGAAGCAGGAGCTTTACGCACTGTGGACTGCTGCAAAACCCTTGGCATTGTAGAATTTTTTTTCTTCTCCATCTTGCCTTGCCCCCCTGGGTACAAAAAGACTTGCAAAATCTATAAAGGCATTCCTTCTTCATGAACAAATAAAAAATCCAATTTATGATGATTAGTTAACTTCAGAAAAGATTTTCACTCCTCCAAAAATCTTTACTGAACTCATATTCAGTGGAAAAGGATTTCACTAAATAGTGATTTGTTAATTTTGTTTCTTTAGTCGATCCTGCTGTTTGAGACCTGGGTGGGGAGGCTGCTTCAAACTGATTTTCTGCACTTTGGCTGCTAGACTGTATACCCACAGTTTTCCTGTGGGATAGCAGCACTTTCCCATAGACTTCTATTATGTCCCTCAGTTTTGATGCGTTTTCTGACAGTGCATCAAAAGTCCTGCATGCATCTTTCAGCCCCATCCATTCTGTTTCAAGGACCTCTGGCTTCCTTCCCCTTTGTAAATACATTTATCCAAGATGTATCTTGCATCAATCCCCCCTTGCATCACCCTGTGCTTCCTTGAGATCTCAACATGGTTCTTTCTGCTGCTGAAGCCACCGTTTGAACCCATCAAGAACATTCCCTTAAATGGTCTGTCCTCATTCTTCACAATGACCAGGTTTTTACGCGAAGACCATCCTCACTTCCGAAGGTGGTATTAATCTTCCACACCAGTGAGGGCATAGTGCAACCATCCTTATGCCCTACTTAAAAGCATCTAAAGGAAATCTCTCTTTTTTGTCTGGACTTTATCAAAGTGATTAGCGTTTACCTCAAAGCAAGAGCTTTGATCACACAGACTGATTCCCCATATGCCCTGAACTCAAGACCACGCAAAGGACAGCCTGCTTGCAAGTCCATGATTGCTCTGTGGAAGATAAAAATCTGATCTCTAGAGCTTACGCGCTGAAGGTCAAATTTCCTTTTGAGCTTTTACATGCCCTTTCCACCAGATCTGTGGGTTTCTTGGGCTTTCTGGCAGCAGACCTCCGTAGCCCAGCATTGTACTATAGCCACCTGGTGTTCTGTTCATACTCTGTTCTTATTTTTTTAAGTTCTGCTACATTAATGTCCAGTCTTCTGTGGATGCAGCTTTTGGCCACAATGTTCTTTACAGCTGCATTCTGACGGTTGGGTCCTTTTGACGTTTGTTGTTGGGCCTATTGGCTCAGTTCTGTTT